ATATGTATATCTTTATATATATATGTACATATATTCATATATATACATATAGACAAACAAACAGACTAACATACATAACACACACACACACACACATATATATATATCCTGGACTGCTCTGGAAGGTTCAAGGAGTTGAATACACACCAATTGCGGCGATGATTATTCGCACTTCTGCACGACCACAAATTTGTGGTACACATATTTATTTATTTATGAATTGAAGTTGCATCTATGAGAAGTATAATTGATCAGACAATATAGAGAAGTAGATATACCTGGATGCTCACATGTATATATGCATACCTCATTCCTATATATAGAGCTAGATAACTATATCGGTATACACTCACACATACATCTACCGATACTCAGTGGAGCATCGACTCACGAAACAGCAAGCGGTTAAACTGTCAAGCACGTGGTGTAAGGGTGAGATGCAGACTGACACGGCTAAGGGAGTGGAGGCGGCTATGGGCCAGGCGATAGCAACCGATGGCGTCACTGTGGATGTCGGACACGTCACCGTGGCCACCGACCAAGGGGTTATAGAACGGGACGATGGCTCTATCGATGCCACGCGCATTGCTATGGAAACCGAAGTAGGTACAGACTCAGATACCGGTAGCTCTGGGAGGCGTACGGATATCACACCGCGTGAGGATGGTGAGCATGTGCATGTGACACACACTCAAACGTACTCCAGGTGTGGAGAGGGTGTGTTCACGCACACGCACACGCACACGCACACGCATACGCATACGCCCGACGGCGTGACTACGGAAACAGTTACAGCTTTGAGAACGGCAGCGGAAGGAACAGGCGCGGACATGGATGACAGTGAGTAGTGGACGTGTGTGTGTTATTTAAGAAGTGTGTGTGTGTGTGTTTTATTAAGTTGTGTGAGTGTGTGTGTGTGCAAGGGACAGATGTGTAGGGTTTCAGGGTTTCAGAAGACCCTAAACCCTAGGCCCCCCATTTACTATATTGTGTAAGCTACATAGCTGTGTGCCTTGTGTACAGCAACGTGATGCTTTGGTGAGATTGCGCGAGTGTCCTGACATAAGATAACACATTTTATGTAGATGACATGTAATAACACTTTTTACAAATGATGACACCTTTCACATATGATGACCTATTTTACATATGATGACACGTTTTATACATGAACACATTTTACATATGTTTACATTTTACATATGATTACATTTTACATTTGATTACATTTTACATATGATCACATTTTACATATGATGTCACATTTTACATATATGTACTTCCTGCACCAACTAGTATAATAACACGTGTGTATGGTTGTTGTGCTTATCGGCCACACCGTCGCAGAGCTACCCTGTCAGTGTCATGGCTGCCACCTTCAATCTACCTACTAACCTACCCACCTTTGTATTTTTATTAATATAATACTACCTACTCACCCTCATTCTATTAATATGACACTACCTACTCACCCTCATATTCTATTTATATCAGACTAACCCCCACCTCATTCTATTTATATCACACTACCTACCCCCCCCTGGTATTCTTTTTGCCCCACGGCCTCCCGACTCTCACGTTATATTCATATCACTCTTCCCATTGGCCATCTCCAATAATTGCACAGCCGCCAGTACGCAGATGGACAGTCACATGTCCAGTCTTTGCCTGAAAGATGTCGAGTCGAAGCATGAGTCATCGATGAGTCATGGTGAGCCTACCAGCCATGCTGGCCTAGGGTACAATGCCGCGGTACCAGTATACGTAAGTAAAATGTGCGTCAGCACTATATATATATATAATGTATATATATATATATATATTATGTATATTATATACATATATATATAAATATGTGTGTGTTTGTGTGTATGTGTGTGTGTATATGTATGTTTATGTATATATTTACATATTGATATGTGTATATACGTATATATGCATGTGTATGTATATATGTGTATATATGTATACATGTATGTGTATGTATATATGTGTATATATGTATACATGTATGTGTATGTATATATGTGTAAATATGTATACATGTATGTATGATGTGCGTATGTCACTTCATACCAATTCAGCCAGTGTCACTTCATACAAATTAAAAAAAACAAATACAAATGTTCCAATTCACTCTCGCAATACGGTACTTCATTCAAATCCTGAACTCTACAACTATAAAACCCAGAAACCCTTATTTTATGTTCCGCTTTGAACTCCTACAGATGCAATCCCCACGCATACCGAAGGCTAAGCCTGTCCACAACACATCAACCGGTACTACCACAAATGGACCGGATCACGGGGCATTCGTGCGGACCCATCGGGAGAGTAGGACATTTAAGGAAGAGAAGAAGATACGTCATGAGCATATGGCAGATGACTCATCCAACACCGACGACGACTGCGATGGTACCTTCTCTGGCTTAGGTTTTGGCGGGAAGTCAAAGGTACGTGGTGTGGTATA